ACTCTGTCATGAATGACACACATTTTGTCACTTGTTTCCCAATTTAATATTTAACTTTCATATCCTCTATTACCAGCCAAACAGGTAATGATCCTCAGATAAAGTATTCAGGGGTTAAATAGAAAGAAAGACAGAAAGAAAGAAAGAAAGAAAGAAAGACAGAAAGAAAGAAAGAAAGAAAGAAAGAAAGAAAGAAAGAAAGAAAGAAGGAAAGAAAGTGCTGCATTGTGCTCTTATCAGTCTTAATTGTAGAGGGTGTCATAAAGTCATACCATGTCACACCTGCTAGATTCACATACGTTGGTGTGTGTGCATGTTTGTGTGCGTGAGCCTACAACATCTGCCTGTTGCTGTGGATAGTGACCTGTGCCACAGACATCTCTGGTTGTGAGATGTGAGACGCACCTGCCGTCTGCGCTATCATAAACACCTGTGGACCTTACACTGCACCTGCTGCCTTATTTGCAGAGGACATGAAGGAATGCAGAGCGATGGTAATTTACTTCAGTTTTATTGTCAGACTGAGAATTTTTGGCCCTGTTTACAATGGAATTAAGATGCCTTTTGGTAGATCAGATCACAATGAGATGAGAAACACATTTACACCTGGTGTTTTAATCCGTCTTCGCAAGACTAGACTTAACACTGTGGGTTTATGTTAATATCAGGAATGGTAAGAAAGCATTGTGATGCTTTTTATTTTAAGTTGTTTAAATTCTATTACTGTTTTATTCATGTTTTTACATTCAGTTGGAATGCTTACATTATGACTAAGGTTTGTGTTATATATATATATATATATATATATATATATATATATATATATATATATATATACATATATACTCTAATGTTGTGTGTCCAGGCTCTTTTTGAAAATACCGCTAAATTCGTTCTGTCAATTTTCCAGAAAAATGTGAACACAGAAGGAAAATTGCCAGCAAGAGCGTGTTCACGATTGTAACATGCTTACTTGAGACGTCTACTCCAGCCAATCATTCAGAGACATCCACATCTGCGCTGTTTATGAAAATAAAAGCCTTTGAATATTTTTCCAGACACATTTAGCTGCTTGATGTTAGTCAGCTAATGTTTCTATGTTCCTTCTTTATGCCTACTGTGTGAACAATTATAGATAAAATTATTATACTAAACTACTGTTTGTTTACCTTCAAGCTCTGCTTCAGTTGCTTGACGTATGTGCATATGGAGTGCTCCGGTGAGCGCCAGCACACACACACATCTTATGTACATCTTGACATGCAAAAGTGTTCCTCCATATCTTTTCTTTGAAGTTGTTCACAATACTTATCCATCCACAGAATTTGTAATGTCAGCAATCGTGTCAAACATTTAGCTGCGGTTTGGCATCTGTCTTTGGATGTCTCTGGGACAAAGCAGCTGCATGAATGCTAAAGCTTTAAATAAAAGTGAAACCATCAATAAAAGCCTGACCCCTTCTATGTTTACAAATACAAACGCAGCCGTTTAGAGGTCATTTCTGGTTAATGATGTCAGAATTTACTGTTATTTTAGAATGGATGTGTGAATTGTCTTTTCTGGAAAAATTCCAGAACATCCTTGCTTGTGTGAACAGCTTTTTAAAAAAACTTACCGGTGAAGCCTTTCTGAAAAATTTTCCGGATACTTACCGATATCGATGTGTGAACGGGGCTAGTGTGGCATTTTATGTTTTTGCTATATCGTCATAAATATTCGTTCATTCGTTCATTTTACTTCAGCTTAGTCCCTTGTTCATCAGGGGTCGCCACAGTGGAATGAACCACCAACTATTACAGCATATGTTTTTACGCAGCAGATGCCTTTCCAGCTGCAACCCAGTACTGGCAAACACCCATACATTTTCATACACATTTATACACAACCAATTTAGTTTATTCAACTCACTTATAGTGCATGTCTTTGGACTGTGGGGGAAAACTTGTGCCCCTGTAAGAAACCTACGTTAACACGATGAGAACATGCATACTCCACACAGAAAGACCTTGCTGTGAGGCAACAGTGCCAACATCATACATATTTTTATCACAAATATTCTTGAAATGAGTTGTAAGGCTGTACATCACCCACCTCTGTCCCATAAATTTGCTCCAACAGAGAGGATTATTGATACATTGTGAAAGTGAAATTGTTAAAAGGCTTAATACAAAACATAGCCTCAAGGGAGGGCTTCAGAATTGTTAATCTGTCATATCTTGTCTCCGTTCCTCAGAAGTGGGCGTCAGTGCAGACCCCATTCTTCATTTGTGACAGACACAGTGGAGTCCTTAAACATTTGTCCTCTCAGATGTACAGTCATATTTTGAAACACTCGATGTGGTTAGTTTCAGCTCATTTGAGAAGCTGATTGCTGGGCTTGTTCCATTTTTGCCTCCTCAGGCCACCATCCATCACTTGGATGGTGTGTAGGCATAACAGCCTTGTAATTTTCTTGCATATTTCATAAGCCCATTTGAAGAAAAAATCTCCAAAATACTTGGAAACAAAGAAAGCTTTCCATCTCTGTAGTGCTGTGAGGCTGTCAGGGAGATTTCCATAGTGATGTCTCCATGACAGAGTCTCAGGTGAGGGAACGCCTTAGTCACTCCGGCGCCTTTCACATGCTGCTGTGTTCTTGTCCTGTAAGGGATGAGATGTGGATGCACAGTATTTGGAAAAAAAACTGCCATTTCTAGATTCTGTTTTTTTCTGCAATATATATTTACAAGAAGCATTGAATGGTACACTGTACTAAAAAAGTCTTGTTTCTAGTCTAAATTTCTACACATTTTGTAGTTATAATCTAAAAAATATGGTCTTGTTTTTAGAAATAGTGTGTCAATATGGATGCCTCTAATAATCCTCTAGCACCGGTGCTCCCAACTTCAAATATTTAGGAGCACCAGAAAAAATGTAGGAGCACCTATCAAAAATCAATTAGCACCACTGCAAATTGTATGTTAGGGGTTTATTGTATTTGAAAACAACATAAATTAGGACTAACAAAAAACAGAAACAACTATCTAATGCTGTGATGACTTATTGATATTTGTGCAATAATTTCAAAATAATGTGTAGTAATTATAAAATATTAATGATTATGACGAAAATGACAATAATACTAACAATTAATAACAACTCTCAGGATCATACTGCCTTGAATGTGCTTAAATGTGAGTTATGTGCTTTAAAAATTCCTACTGTTACATCATGAAAATAAATTTAGGGTTTGCATCAAACACAAATGAAGCATTGCAGTAAGAAATATTTATTTTGCATTATTGTTTATGTATGCATATTAATTTAATAAATACTATTTTTGCTACAAAACAAACAAAAGATTATAATAAATCATTCAATTCAACGCTGAGAGCTGCAAAGCAGTCATCAGTAATAAATAGAAAAATAATAAACATCTCAAGAAAGAATGGACAAAAGAAAGGAAGAAAAGTCTCACTTCTACCACGCTTTAAATGTTTATTTATGCTCAGTCTCGTTATGCGCTGATTTCTATTTTTGTATGTTGGTGTAAAGCAGGCGAGTTAGCCGACCAAATATATAAGGGGGGGTAAAGCAGGATTCTCCCGATGACCACTGGTGCAATACTGTTCTTTGTTATGAGCCGCATCAGTTTAACTTAGTAAAAGTGAGATTCTTTCGCGATACAGTGTTACATTTTACATCTAGCGAACATTTGCGCTGAACACGCAGTAAATGCAGCACATCGAGATTCAGTGTACTTTTCACTCTTCAGTCTCTGCATTCCCTGCGATCACAAAAGCTCCCTGTCGACTGACAGTGGAAAGTCTTGAGTGATTGACAGCTAATATGAACCAATATAGCGGCAGGGAAGAGCGATTCAGCACGTTTTTAGAAATCATCAAAACAGGTCGCACTTCAACCATTATATGCAGTCGCACAAAAGCTCCCAAATATATTATGAAGTAGCAAAGCTTAAATTTCGGGCGCATATGCGATCAAAATGGTTGCAGTTTCTAGTCCGGCATGCTGTAAATGCACAGTACAGTTACAAGCTTATTACCACATAATAGCGTTATGATAACATAATATATGCCTTAAGGGATTTCCAGAAGATAACATACATTAGGGTGACGTGTGCAGGTATTGTAGTTGTAATTGATTTCTTAGGGGTACATTTTTAAGCCCTGGCTTCCCCTTCACACTCTGTTTCAAGGGCCAAGGGGAAGGGGTAGTTTTTTTTCTTTTGCTTTTTGCAAAATAAAAAACTCTGATGACCCTAAAGTGCATATGTGAAGTTTCAGCTCAATAAACCACACAATTATTGTTCTATAAATCTTTGAAACTGCCTCTTTAAAGGCTTTGAGCCAAATTACGTCATTTTGGTGACTGTTGCTTTAAATTCAAATGATTGTGTTCCCAGCTCTCTTTTCGAAAAAGGTTGGCGCTAAAAAAGCCTATGTGGCACCATAGCAGCTGATTCAGAACTCTAATGGCGAATGGCTGCTTCTCACTTAGGTCTGTCTATGCTAATGATGTACAAAGGGAGAATGTCAATCAAAGTGTTTTGTTAGAGGCTGTATTTACACACAACTGTGTTTAAATTCTTATAAAGGGGATTTTTTCACAATAGGTGCTGATATGTACCTCAGTATGTTATAACTTATTACAAAGTATTTTTTAAACCATTTCAAATGTTAACATGTTTTTAAATAAAAACAATTATTTAGTAAACAACAATTTTAGCATAAATCATGTAAAAACTGTATTAGCATTATTATTTGTTCAACCAAAATGTGTAATCTCTGGCTAAAAGTATATAATAAAAATAGGATTGTATCAGTTTTACCAGCAATGAACTATGAATAAACCAATGGATTCCTTTCGATACACTTTTAGCCAAGGATAAGTGAATTAAAAGAAACCCATTGGTTTATTCATAGTTCGTTGCTAGTGAAACTGTTGCAATCCTATGTTTATTATGGAGTGTTCTGAGTCTTTTGTTCTTCTCTCCTCCACAGGTCAGGAGTGGGAGTCACTGGATCCAAGCAGACCATGTTTTACGCCGAGGTGTCCGAAGAGAACCGCGTCGGAGAGGGAGGAGGTAAACCTCAAGAGGGTGAACTGATCGAGGTGGTTAAAGTTCCCCTTCACGAAGCCATGACCTTCGCCTTTGACGAGAGCATCCCGAAAACAATGGGAGTCATTTTCAGCTTCATCTGGTTCCACAGCAACATGTCGCCGAAGTACAAGATCTCCACCAACGTGTAACGTAACAGTTCCAAGCCATCCACAAGTCATTACATACATTTTTATATATATATAGTAATCAAAATGGTCACTAACTGTTAATTTTTTTTTGTTATTTCTTACACTCTTATCTGTTTATTGTGGTTTTAGCTATTGTCTTATTTCAAAATGAAGCAGCACTTGTGTGCGATCCCCGTCAGCTAACCGTAGAGCTGAAGAGGTTCATTGTGCGTTTGTTTTGTGTAACTGATTGCTTTGTTTTTGACATGTCAGGAATTTCAGCCAGCCATTTAAAATCACACCACGGCCCTTAAAGACTTTGTAATGGTGATCTATTCCATGCTAACAGTGTTGATACCATCAGAAAGACAGTGAGCACGTTTACATGCACACCAATACTATGGAAAGTCCAAAATCAGCTTATTGAAATAACACGTTTTCCTGGTTTTAATTTTAAACAGTAACCTAGCAAAACAGATACATCACATTTACAGGACTGTATTATTATATTAGGTCATTTACTCAAACGATTACATCAGAAATATTAAGATGTGTAGGTCTGACTCTTAAGTATTCTACTTTGACATTAAACAAAGCATAAAGCTTAAAAAATCTAATGATTATGAACCCAGCCTACTTAAATATAATCATTTATTTTCATATTGACAAGCATTTTACCCTCCAATTTTTGGATTTTTTGGATCAAGAGTCACCCAATATACTTAACAGCAGCTTATTTTTCAATATTGCTTGATGTAATTTCAAACCAAACAGGCAAAAACCTACTTCATTTTCAGATTGTTACTGGCGTTTGAAAAAGATTATGTAAAAAGTTTGCTTCAGCCTGTAAACACATTGAAGCTATCATTGGTCTTTGTCGATAATGTTATAGGTAAGTTGTAAGTCGGTTGTTATTTTTTAATACTCTAAAGCTGCTTTCATTGTAGCAAACGAATAAACTAAATTGCTGCTGCTTTCTTAACTGCTGTTTTCTCACAGTTGTCATCTTTCATGGTTGTGTGTTTATTTGTATTTTTGGAAGGAAAGCACACAGCACATGTTTTCATATTTGTCTAAATGCTGCTCTCAGCAGTGTGAGAGCCGTCAGAACAGAAAATCACTGCTCATATTTTTCGAACACAACTCTGAACGAAAACAAGGCCTTTAAAATCAAAATTAAAACTTTTATTTTGCTAGTGAACATTGTTATTCTTTACAAATTGTCCATGCAAGTTGATCCAGTGAAAAAAAGTTTGTTTTGGTAACCTCCACCTAATGTCTGACCATTTAATTTTACGTTGGAGTGTCGATCCTTATCTGTTGACGTCAGTTTAAAGGTTTCATCTACAGTTATCTTAACCTTGCCCCTCTTACCTTTCATTTTCTGTAAATTAATGATGTGCACCTATTAGGCATGGGCCGGATACGATTGTGACAATATGATAACCTTGGATAAAAATATCACGGTTTCACAGTATTGTGATTACTGCTCTAAAATATATTCTTTTTAAATGTCTGGGTAAAAAAACAACAACTTTTTTTTCCACTTTGAACACAACATATGTTATTTTGAGAAACATTTGTAATATTTTGGACCAGTAAACATGTCAGGCTAAATCCTTCAAATGAATCATTGACTTCTGCTGTTTTCATTAGTTTCAAAAACACAGATTTCTTTACAATTTTAAACAACATCTTTAGATATCTTTTCTGCTGAAGATACTGTTGTCCTAAAAAAAAATAAAGACAAAACATTGTACATATATCGTAGAAACGGTATAACAGGAAACCTTGACTTTTCCAAACCGCGGTATACCTTGAAAACGATTATCATCCCATGCCTAACCCCTATTCAATATTCTGTTTCAATTGGCCGTACATCAACATTCTGAAATAAATGTCTCAAAAACTTCTGGTTCAAGCTGACTTTTAACAAAAAATTTTTTTTGGCCATTTAGCCAAATTTTTATTATGAAAATACAGTCATTTCAAAAGAAATTTGCTTTGAAATGCTGTTTTTACATAAAGGCCTGCTTGGTTTGAAAGTCTGTGAAGCAGTGTATCGCACTATATATCAGTTTGCTATGGAAAACGAACGTCTTTTCTCATAAACTTTTTCATAATATTACTTTAAAGTCGCTTTCATGTCTCATAGCCAGACATGCACACTGACAGAACTCTTTATAGGGTGATTATAAATCTTACACCTCATCATAGGTTTAAGTTATTTGTGACCTTACTGCAATATTTGACACTTCACTAATCCGCTTGTTAATTCCTGATGTATCAGTGACATATGAAACAGTCCGCTACTCATTTGAATTGAGAAAATATTCGTATATGACCACTTTTTTTGTCATATCATCACACATATAATGATTTTATTATATAAAATCATAATGTACACACTCTGGACTTTTTGCATCACAGACATCAATATTTTAACAATTTATGAAAAAGTAATCACTTTCTGGCCATCGGATATTAGGCATGGATATATACATATTGCGATCTTGATTTTCGAAAGTATTACATCGATTTGTAAACATTTACTATTACCCTTTGTTGAGTCTCCCCATACAGTTTGACAAAGCGATTGCACCCGGAAGCGGCTTCGTGTGACGTCACACTTAACAAGCGAATAGATGACAACAAAAAAGGGACAATCACCAAATTACAGTACATCACTTTTGACTTGCTTCAAACCAAGAAGGGTTGATTCAGCATGTTTAGTCGGCAAAAGCAACTTCCAATCAACACCAGCAGCGTAAATACACTGATCCAGCAAAACATGACTGTCTGTTGGCATCTTTCAGTGTGATGTCAATTAGCCCAGAAACAAAAACAGCATTGTCATGCCTCGTCACAGTATTTAGGTAAAGAATGTGCATGTAAACGCACTCACTCATTGTTGAGATTGAAGCTGTACGCTGTTTGAGAAAGTCTGACTTCTAGCCATATTCCACCCATTTTACAGTCAGGCCATTTTCAAGGAACAGCATCCATTTTTGAAATAAGCAAGTAAATAATATTAACGTCAACAATCCACTGGCAGCTACCCGAACGATAGCCACTTCTTGAAAACAATCACTGACAAAGAACAACAAATACGCTCTCGCATATATCTCAGGTCCAAAGCTGACTTTGGGACATTCAGGGTTAGTGATGATGCTGAAATATACTGAGGTGTTTTGTATTGTCGCTTAATATTATGTTTATTCTGAGTGTGTTTTGCACAATTTATAAAATATCTGCTACACAGAACCTAAAGTATGAGTACAGTGCTAGTACTGCAGGTTTAAAGCTGCTTTGCCATAATCGTCATAACTATAACAACATTCTGAATTCTTGCAGAATGTTTGGAAAATGTTAGGGGTGCATGAGCTTGCCTGCTGAAGTAGAACGAATATATTTATAATATACCATAGTATCAGAAGACCTCCTGAAGTCACAGGAACTAAAATAGTGACGTTCTAAAATCTCTTAAATAGAATACTTGAATTACTGTTGCGGTTTACTGTAGGAATATACAGTGGAGATCAAAATTAGAGAACTTTTTTAGAGAAAGATGTGTTGGGTTTTTTTAAGCACAAATAATACAATCTTCATTGTTCAAAATTTGAAGGTATTTTGGTTTTGGTAATACTATGCTAGTTAAACATTTTTTTTTTTACAAAATAATTAAGCCACTTAAACGAGACACATTTATTTTGTGGAAAAAAGTGATCAGTATTTGAGATCAGCTATGATTTTAGCACAAAGAAAGATTACAACTAATATCTCTGAAGGTTATAGCAGTCAACTAGAAAATGTACTATTTAGAGTCCAACTGATGATCGATTTTAGCTGCAGTGTTAAACCATCTTACCACTAAGGTTCTCTGGATAATCCTGTCCTCTATTGCAAGTCCCACCTATGCTAATGGCAGCTAAAATTTGTCTAATAATTTCAACACAGGCTCATTGGAAAAACATGCTTAAGCCTATACTTTTGTGAATGAATATGAATATAAACATACTTTTGACTGCAGTTTTGTATAAAAAAAAAAAAAGTTATGTTATTACCAGGGCTTAATTTGTGCCGGAACATGCCGGATCTGGAACCTCATTTTACCGATCCTCCATCTCAACCGCCCTCTTCCCCAGTCCGCTGTTTACTTTTACGTTCATCCGCGACTCCCCCAACACTCTTCACTTTCATGTCCGCCTTCCCCCTCCCGCATTTCACTTTCATCCGCAACCCCCCCCGGTCTCCACTTTCGTGCGCAAGACCTATACATCCTAGAGTAAAATGCAGTAGCCGTTAGCCGGATCTGTTCCTGGGACCTTGCTGTTCACAAATTAAGCACTGGGTATGACGACAGCAACTTTTGTTTCTTTTTACGCTTATGATATTTACAGGGACATATTATCAATAAAAAATGACTATTTGTGTGCAGTTCTTTGCACAATACCAAATATACAGTATTTTATAAAACAACTTAATGAGTTCTATGATTTGTAAACAATTAAGTTGTTTCACCTTTCTATCTCAATATAGATAACTTCTCTTGCATGGTCAGTTTGCTCGGTAGCAAACAATGCGCATTGTTGTACTTGTGATGTAGAGTGCTTGAGTCCACTGATGCATAGTTTCACAAAAGAGATAAAAACAATGTAAAATAAGGGTAAACCTATGTGGTCACAGTGCACTTTTTACCAATGTTTGCTTCTGAAAACACTATTGGTTGGGTTTAGGTCAGCGGTTCACTAGGTGATTTATTTGACTAGCCTTGTCTTCTTATGAAGGTGTACAAGGACATGTATATGAAATGTATAACAAAACGTACCATAAGTAATAGCGCTGTATGATTAATCAAATATGATTTTCATGTGCATTTTGTCAGTAAAACCGACTGACTGTAATCAGCAGCAAATCTCCAGCACCTGCTTTCAGATGGAGCAGTATTTACTACACTGTAGTTTACTGACAAGCTGTTTGGCACGATTCTCAAATTAAAGATAAATCATTCTGTGATCTGA